GACCGCGAATGTTTATGCACGATAAATATGCAAAATTCGTATGACATTTATACCCGAAAAATATGCAAAATATGAAAAATATGCACGAAAATTTTCAAATATACACGATATCAAGTACATGCAATATTAAATGTTAAGTTTAATATTAACAAGTATCGAGACACGTTTTACAGTTATTCTGTTGTATTACACTTCGAATTACAATATGTTACAAACATTCATTCTAAATTTGATGGCATCAATTGGTGGCGTTTGCGAATCCGAAGATTTATGCTTATAATTTTATGGTCGCACAAAAGTTTACGATTAACTACGAACTTTATCTAGATCGCGAGATACAAGATACAAAATTGACGAACAATAAATCGTTTTATCGCCTCTAGAGTGGGTCAACCGTTTTTGCGATTGGACCACGATTATGATCCATCGATGTTGACAATGGATACACGTTCTTTCTGAATGCAAGAAGAATCATCGCGGATCTTATGTTCCCTCTATAAACTTGCGCATGGTATGACCAACAATCATAGCGTTTCTTCTCTTGCGAATTTTAATACTAGTGTTAAGACGGAGACATTTGCATCCGACGTTACTACATTTAATCCAAAACATTATAGGCTATCTACTTGATTCACTGATTCCCCGCCATTCGTCATAAATTACGCTTTTGTATTTCTGTAAAAATTGGTATTTACCCGTGTATACAAATGAATACATACATAAAAAGAAAGTATCGCTTCTACACATTTCCAAGCAACGCACAGTAGAATAAAACTGGGTTAATTGGAAACAATCTAAAGTAGAACCAACACGCGAGGCTTTCCGTTGAACCGAGTGTAGCGCGACTGTATCCGAGCCAAATTCAAAATGCAGAAGAAAAATTGGAAATGTAAAGCTGGAATGCAGTTCGCGGAGGAGGGGCGGGGGGGATGAAATGTATCGCGAGCGAAGTGGCGCGAGCACGCTTTCATTTCCGTCCGATCCAAATGCGTCCGACGTTAGCCGGCGAAACAAAGGAGGCGATGCAGCGGTGTTGCGCGAGAATGCAGCGCGAAATAAAGGGAACGATCTGTCCGCGGGATCAGAAATAGAGTTTCGCGGTGGCCGGGAGCCGGTCGAAGGACAGGGTCGCTCATAAGAGGGCCCAGGGAAGACAGAGGAACGCGCGGCAATCGGGAATCGCGACGGCGATACGATCTTCTGGTTCCCCGGGCGGATCGGGGTGGTCGTGGCCGAGCCAGGAGAATAAGATTTCATCGTGTAGGACGAGGGTGGCCATCTACGTCGAGGTGTAAGGTGTCCCGACGATCTCTCGGCTCACGCAACATCAGTCGGCCGCGCAGCTCTTTCGACCGCACGGAAGATGGAAACCGGCTACGTGCGCACCGTTTCCGTGGTGTTTTAGACTTTTTAAACTGACAGGTGTCTGCTCGCCATGTGAAATAGGTAACGAACACCTCCGGGGTCTTCGGCCTCTCCGGAGATCAGCCTGCGGTCTTTAGCCTCTCTATTTCTTGGAAAGATGAGACTGTGATATGTCGATTGAGGTGGATGTTTGAATCAGGAGTGCCCGGTCGGGATTCAGAAGCGTTCCAGACCGTGAATTTTATGCACTCGTGACCGCAGAGTGGATTTTCAGGGTGGATTTGACCCGATCGTTTGACAACTTGCTAATATACCTTGAAGATTTATGTACTTAACTCTTTATACAATGATTTCTTGCATAAATGCGTTTATTAGTTGCATTTCGTTCTTAATGCTAGATTTACGGAGCACTACAAGCAGCTGTTTTGTATTACTTTATAAAAGTAGCAAAAATTTATTTCGATTTTTAACGAGCGTTTTTGTAATATTTGCCGCAAGTAACACATATATTGAATAAATAACTCATAAATGTATGTTTGCAATCTGAATGATCCAGATTAAAAAATTAGCGACCTGTCATTTTTTTCGAGTTCCGTAAATCTAGCGTTAATTATTTTTCCACGTGATTATGTATCGAACACGTTCACACGGCTCCCTATGATTCTCACGAGTGATTGGAATAATAATTGGAATGAGCGATACTATTGCACTTAATAATTTTAAAACTTTAACTTAACGAAGCAGATAAATGAATAAAACTGCGTGTAACTGAGGGTTCTGCGTGTAAAGGCGAAGTGGAGATGGTGAGTCGTGTATTTTTCGACTGGAGTAAGAGAAACGATCGTCGTGATTGATTGATTTAAAAATTGTACGGAAAGGAAAAATGACCACGCAAACTAACGGTCACCCGCAGGTACGTCACGCACCCTCGAGTGACACACGCGGAGAATTCGCTTGTCTCAAGGATTGACTGTAGCAGGCAATAAACCCGGCAAAACGAACCGCCTCGACTTGACGAGGCATGCGAAAGAAAGGAAGGAAGGTTTCGTGACCAGCTGTGGATCATAATGAAATAAAATATAATATTCAATTTTAAAGAAAGTGCAGACTTTTCGAAAAAAACTGTATGCTACGGATGGTTGGTATTTTTCGAAGAACAGATGGGTTCATAAGGTAATTCAACTGTTTAATGTTTTTACGGATGTACAATTGTAGTTGGGAGTTTCCTGATTTGTTTCGGTTTCGAATATGGAACATCAACCCTTTGCCATGCCTTGACGTGTCTGACACGTGATGGAGATTTCTAGTAATAACCTGTTAAATATGAATGCTATGCCGTTCTCTTTAGTCTGAATAAAATTCTGATTTCTTCTCAACAGTGTTTAAACATTTAAGTACATATAGACACACAATAAATATAAATTATCTTTCTTCTTCTTAGAAATTATTACAATCGAAAAACTTCTAATCATAGTAACTATGAAGAAAATGGTACGGCAAGGAGTTAATAATCTGCCTGATGAAACGAGACTTTGATGACAGATGAAACATATTTATTTTCGATTTAGAAGAAACGAGTGACATTTTGATATTTAGTAGATCATACATAAGAAATCTTCATCACGAGTATGACTCGTTGTATAGTACAAGNCGGCAATCGGGAATCGCGACGGCGATACGATCTTCTGGTTCCCCGGGCGGATCGGGGTGGTCGTGGCCGAGCCAGGAGAATAAGATTTCATCGTGTAGGACGAGGGTGGCCATCTACGTCGAGGTGTAAGGTGTCCCGACGATCTCTCGGCTCACGCAACATCAGTCGGCCGCGCAGCTCTTTCGACCGCACGGAAGATGGAAACCGGCTACGTGCGCACCGTTTCCGTGGTGTTTTAGACTTTTTAAACTGACAGGTGTCTGCTCGCCATGTGAAATAGGTAACGAACACCTCCGGGGTCTTCGGCCTCTCCGGAGATCAGCCTGCGGTCTTTAGCCTCTCTATTTCTTGGAAAGATGAGACTGTGATATGTCGATTGAGGTGGATGTTTGAATCAGGAGTGCCCGGTCGGGATTCAGAAGCGTTCCAGACCGTGAATTTTATGCACTCGTGACCGCAGAGTGGATTTTCAGGGTGGATTTGACCCGATCGTTTGACAACTTGCTAATATACCTTGAAGATTTATGTACTTAACTCTTTATACAATGATTTCTTGCATAAATGCGTTTATTAGTTGCATTTCGTTCTTAATGCTAGATTTACGGAGCACTACAAGCAGCTGTTTTGTATTACTTTATAAAAGTAGCAAAAATTTATTTCGATTTTTAACGAGCGTTTTTGTAATATTTGCCGCAAGTAACACATATATTGAATAAATAACTCATAAATGTATGTTTGCAATCTGAATGATCCAGATTAAAAAATTAGCGACCTGTCATTTTTTTCGAGTTCCGTAAATCTAGCGTTAATTATTTTTCCACGTGATTATGTATCGAACACGTTCACACGGCTCCCTATGATTCTCACGAGTGATTGGAATAATAATTGGAATGAGCGATACTATTGCACTTAATAATTTTAAAACTTTAACTTAACGAAGCAGATAAATGAATAAAACTGCGTGTAACTGAGGGTTCTGCGTGTAAAGGCGAAGTGGAGATGGTGAGTCGTGTATTTTTCGACTGGAGTAAGAGAAACGATCGTCGTGATTGATTGATTTAAAAATTGTACGGAAAGGAAAAATGACCACGCAAACTAACGGTCACCCGCAGGTACGTCACGCACCCTCGAGTGACACACGCGGAGAATTCGCTTGTCTCAAGGATTGACTGTAGCAGGCAATAAACCCGGCAAAACGAACCGCCTCGACTTGACGAGGCATGCGAAAGAAAGGAAGGAAGGTTTCGTGACCAGCTGTGGATCATAATGAAATAAAATATAATATTCAATTTTAAAGAAAGTGCAGACTTTTCGAAAAAAACTGTATGCTACGGATGGTTGGTATTTTTCGAAGAACAGATGGGTTCATAAGGTAATTCAACTGTTTAATGTTTTTACGGATGTACAATTGTAGTTGGGAGTTTCCTGATTTGTTTCGGTTTCGAATATGGAACATCAACCCTTTGCCATGCCTTGACGTGTCTGACACGTGATGGAGATTTCTAGTAATAACCTGTTAAATATGAATGCTATGCCGTTCTCTTTAGTCTGAATAAAATTCTGATTTCTTCTCAACAGTGTTTAAACATTTAAGTACATATAGACACACAATAAATATAAATTATCTTTCTTCTTCTTAGAAATTATTACAATCGAAAAACTTCTAATCATAGTAACTATGAAGAAAATGGTACGGCAAGGAGTTAATAATCTGCCTGATGAAACGAGACTTTGATGACAGATGAAACATATTTATTTTCGATTTAGAAGAAACGAGTGACATTTTGATATTTAGTAGATCATACATAAGAAATCTTCATCACGAGTATGACTCGTTGTATAGTACAAGAGGTTAACTTAGGGTGGTTTATCCACTTTCAAGCAGACAAACAGTCGTGTATTAAATAAAACAATGAAGTAATACCTGACTGTATCAGCCACTTTGCTTCCTGCCGACAAAATCTCTAGATCAAGAAGAACATACCTGAGTCAGTACGATTCACAACTTGCTCGAAGAACATTCTTGAGTCAGTACGAATTCACAACATGCTCGAATCACAATGGAACGTTCAAAACGGTTGTAAAAGAAAAGACGTCCTCATCTTCGAAAATGAACGATAACACAAAGAACTACACTTTCGATGCCGTTCCTCTGCAACAGATAAGCACCTGCGGACGATGCGAAGCAATAAAGCAAACGTCCTGGCTTCCTGACGAGATAGACCCTCGATTACAAAGAGTAAGCTTAACTCCGCGTTCAAGCAAGATAAAAGATTCAAGAAAACCGGAAGGAAATCCCCGGATGTCGTGGGATTCGAAAACAAGGGAGAGGACGCACCGATAAAAGGCGAAGAAGATGGCAAAGATAGCAGAAGCGTCCGTTTTCCGCGGGCATCGTGTAAGCATATACGTCGTTCGCGTGCAGAGAAACGCGGCGTGTCCGTGGACGATGCTCTGGGAGAGCGCGCGATTTCCCAGTCGGCGGGAGAAGGACAAGTAAAGGGTTCCGAGGGACCGTATGCCGTCTTCCTTCCACCATGGAGGGCCACGGCGATGGGCGCGTGCTCGACGTAGTAGGATGCCGGTCCTTCCTGCGTTGGCGCGCGCGCGCGCGCGTGTGTGCGTGTGTCCCTTTCCCGTCTGTGTCGGTGTCTCTGTGTCGGTGCTGCCGCCGCTGGTGGGGGAAGGAACGATTGGTGGACGCAGCGTCGAGTTAGATGCTGAGGAGATCCGAAGCGTCAGTTGCGCGGTGGCCGCCGTACCGAGTGCTACGGTGTTCTCGGTGTCGTACCCTGCCGGTCGGTGCCATACGGTTCAGTCTCCTCTCTCTTGCACCCAGCGAGCCGTGTCGAGCATTTTCTTCGGGTACCGAGTTCTCTTCCCCGACCGATGGGATTTCGGTGAACGGACACGGCGACCTTCGGGACAGTGTCCAATCCAGCCCGCGGATAGGGAACTGTGCGTTAGACACTTCGTGGAGAATTAAACCCAGTCGGAGAACGCTATCGCGATAGCAGGAGCGCTTTCGTAGCAGCTCTTGCGGATTACTCGGATCAATTCGGAGGAGCTTAGAGAACAAGGGACGAAGCCTGGCCTTTCCCGAAACTCGAATTCGTTTGGTACAAGCTCTGAATAGTCGGTCCCGTGGCCGGGCGCTCCGGAGCCGGGCCGAAACGGAGTCGTGTGAAGTGTGAACCTCGGAGTGTGAGTTGCCGGTAAGAGCAAGAGGAGTCGGGGCTCCTTAACCCCCCCGAGTTGTCGGAAGCCGGGATTCCAGCATATGATCGGATCTTAGCGGAGACAGGTGCCGCGGGAAGTTTCGCGTATCGATTGTACCGGTGCCACACATGACAGTCGGTCGGAGTAAATATTGGAGGGCGTATACGTGCGACCACAGCGTGCGTTAGTGAGTCACCGGCGGTGGTGGTTTCCGTGTGATGGTCAGGAGGTGGGTGGCCCAGGGAAGAAGAAGGCACCACCGAGTACGCTAAAGATGCGTGGCCTGGTCGGCCCCCCCGCCCTGGCGGGCCGGCACCGTGGCCCGGCGTCGACGCTGACGTTGGCCTGCTACTACTGTCTCCTGATCCCGGTGTGCCACGTGCTCGCGGTGACCAGCGAGCTGCCGCCCAGGCTCGACCTGCCGGAGCACTGCTCGTGGGAGTCGCGGCAGGACGGCGCGGTCACCTGCGTGCACCAGACCGTGGGTGGCGAGAGCTTGAAGACCAACTTCTCCCAGGCGACCAGCGAGTACGTGACCTCGGTGAACGTCGTCTGCGAGAACACCGACGCCCTGGACGCGGGCGCGCTGAACGTCGACGGATTCGTGCAGCTCTGGCGGCTGAGATCGCTGAGGCTGACGGGGTGCAAGCTGGTCCACTGGCCGGCGAAAGTGCTCAGCGGGCTGCGGGACCTCCGGAATCTGACGGTGCGCAGCCTGAACGGCCGGAAGGGCAAGTACAGCCTGGAATTGGAGAGCGGCGCGTTCGACGCGGTCCCGCAGATCGAGAAGATCGATCTCTCGTGGAACAACATCTGGCAGATCCCGGAGCACTTGTTCTGTCCGCTGTCGAACCTGCTCACGCTGAACGTCTCCTGGAACATGCTGAACGACATCTCCGAGCTAGGGTTCAGAGACATGGCCGAGAAACATCCACGGCGACCAACGGACTCGACCGCGTCGCCGTTCCCGTGCTCGTTGGACGTGCAATCGCTGGACGTGTCCAATAATCAAATCTCCGTGCTGCCCGCGTACGGGTTCTCGTCGCTGAAACGGCTGAAGGTGCTGAACATGTCGAACAACGCGATCGCGATGGTGGCGGACAAGGCTCTTCAAGGGCTCCGCTCCCTGGAGACGTTCGATCTGTCCGGGAACCGTATCGTCGCGCTGCCGATGGAGATGTTCCGGGAAGCGGCGAAATCGTTGAAGGAGCTACGGCTGCAGAACAATTCGATCAGCGCCCTGTCGCCCGGGCTGGTGGCGGACATGAACCAGCTGGTGGCGCTGGACCTGTCCAGGAACGCGTTGACCAGCTCCTGGCTGAACTCCGCGACGTTCTCCGGGCTTATTCGTTTGGTCCTTTTGAACCTGTCCCATAATCGGATCAGCAAGCTGGACCCGGCGCTGTTCAAAGACCTGTTCACCCTTCAGATACTGAACCTCCAGTACAACGAGATCGAGACGATACCGGCGGACACGTTCGCGCCGATGAATAATCTGCACACGCTAGATTTAGCGTACAATCGATTATCTTATCTGGACGCGTACTCCCTGAACGGCTTGTTCGCGCTCTCCCTTCTCTCGCTGGACTCTAATCAGCTCGAAGGAATCCATCCGGATGCCTTTCGGAATTGTTCCAGTATGCAGGACCTGAATCTGTCCGGGAACAATCTGGACAGCATACCGGTCGCCCTCAAAGACATGACGTTGCTGCGGACGCTGGACCTCGGCGAGAATCAGATCAGGAGCCTGAACCGGCCGGGTTTCCGCGGTATGTCGAGCCTCTATGGATTAAGGATGATCGGGAACGAGATCGCGAACGTGACCGCCGAGGATTTCGCGGAGTTGCCCGCGTTGCAGATCTTGAATTTGGCACGGAACAAGATCGACACGGTCGAGGACGGTACGTTCGCGGCGAATCGGGCCTTGCAGGCGATCCGGCTCGACTCGAATCTGTTGGAGGACGTGTCCGGCGTGTTCACAGGCTCGCCCGGCCTGCTCTGGCTGAACATGTCCGACAACCTGATCGTGCACTTCGATTACGGTTTCCTGCCGGAGAAATTGCAGTGGATGGATCTCCATAAAAATCTGATTATGGATCTCGGCGTCGCGCCACAGGGGATGAGATTGCAGACGCTCGACGTGTCGTTCAACCGGCTAACGAGGATCCACTCGCGGTCGATACCGGACTCGATCGAGCTTCTGTTCGTCAACGACAATCTGATACAGACCGTCGAGCCGCAGACCTTTTTCGACAAGAAGAACCTGACCAGGGTGGACCTATACGCGAACCAGATCGTCAAGATGAACCTGTCGGCGTTCCAGCTGACCCAGGTGCCGGCCCACAGGCAACTGCCGGAGTTTTACATCGGCGGGAACCCGTTCATCTGCGACTGCACCACCGAATGGCTGCAGAGGATCAACTCGTTGCCGTTGAGACAGCACCCGAGGGTGATGGACCTGGAGTCGGTCTACTGCCGGCTACCATACGACCGGCACAAATCGTTCATACCGTTGCTCGAGGCGAAACCGTCCCAGTTCCTCTGCACGTACAAGGCGCACTGCTTCGCGCTCTGTCATTGCTGCGACTTCGACGCCTGCGACTGCGAGATGACCTGCCCGACCAACTGTACCTGCTACCACGATCAATCCTGGTCGGCGAACGTGGTCGACTGCTCCAACTCCGGCTACAAGACTCTGCCGGGACGATTACCCATGGACGCGACCGAGGTCTATCTGGACGGCAACAACTTCGGCGAGTTGAACTCCCACTCGTTCATCGGCCGCAAGAACCTGCAGATCCTGTACGCGAACGACAGCAACATCATCGCGATTCGCAATCACACGTTCAGCGGCCTGAAGCGGCTGGTGGTGCTCCACCTGGAGAACAACAAGATCAGCGTGCTGAACGGCGTCGAGCTGATGCCGCTCGAGAACCTGAAGGAGCTCTACTTGCAGAACAATCTGCTGGCGTACATCGACAACGGCACGTTCGTCCCGCTGCGGCAGCTGGAGGTGCTGCGGTTGGAGAACAACCGGCTTGGCACTTTCGCCGTGTGGCAGCTCGGCCAGAACCCGTACCTGGTGGACATCGGGCTGTCCAGCAACCCCTGGGGCTGCGAGTGCTCGTATCTGGACCGGGTGCGCGAGTGGATGTCCCGTAACCGGGCGAAGATCAGCGACTGGAGGAGCGTCACCTGTTCCCTCGGCATGCCTATCACCCTGCCGGCGAACGGCTCGGCCATAAATTGCGCGGCGTTGACCGGCACGACCTCGGTGATCGAGACGCGGCCGCTCGAGACTTATCTGCCGCTACTGCTGGCTACCGCGGTGCTGATATTCGCGATGGTGGCGCTGGTCTGCGGCGCCTTCAAGCATCGCCGGGCCCTGAGGACATGGGCGGCGAGCAGATGCGGCCTGAGGGCCTGCTACAAGACGGCTGCGTTCGAGGACCAGGAGAAACCTTTCGACGCCTACATTTCCTACTCGGCGGTGGACGAAGCGTTCGTCTCGACGATCCTCGTGCCGAACCTCGAGACATCGTACCGGCTGTGCCTGCACTATCGGGACCTAGGAGCCGGCAGCAACGTCGCGGACGCGGTCACCGAGGCCGCGGACTCCTCCAGGCGCACCATCCTCGTGCTGTCCAAGAACTTTCTGCACGGCGAGTGGGCCAGGTTCGAGTTTAAAGCAGCGCTCAGGGACGCTCTGAAAGGGAAGGGACGCTCGGTGATCCTGCTCCTGGTGGGCGGTGTGTGCCCTCGGGATCTCGACGCCGATCTCAACAAGAGGATCTCCTCGCACACCGTGCTGGTGTGGGGGGACAAGTTGTTTTGGCAGAAGTTAAGGTTCGCCATGCCGGACGTGTCCCCCATACCCGTTCTCGAGAGACCGCTGCCGTTGCCGCCGCCGCCGCCGCCCCCGGCGCAGCATCAATGGACGTAGAACAGCCATTATTTAGGTAAGAGCCATTATTCGATCTTCCTACGCTTCTGTCCCTCTATCGGCGGACGACCCTGCGTCTGCACCCCAAAACGTCTTTCCCTGTTCAGGGGAACGCTGGACAGCCGAGAAACCCGCGTGTACGCTTCAGAGTTTACTCCGATACTTCAAAAGACTCTCGCGTCACCCATCCAGTCGAAAACGGACACGACAAATTTCACTCTTGAATAGCATCGCGGTACACTCTCCCAATAGTTTGCTTCTCAATGGCATTCGAACGGCTTCCACGCAACTATGCAAGCATGCTCGCGTTCGTATGAATTTTAAGCCTTTGCTCTACGATTTCTTTCACAGCTACGGTAATTGTTTGTCGCTAAGAAATTCCTAGGCAGTTAATTCGTATTTATTGGATGCCAATCTTCGCTTCAGTGCTGAAATATTAATAAATGTATAATTAGCAGATCATGTTCCAAATCTTCGCCACCGACCCGACACGATATTATAGTGCAAGGTGTTAGAAACGATTCTTCTAATAGTTTGCAATACATACAAAATAGTTGTACATATATTTTATTGTAGAAAGAAGTACAATAAATTCTCCAGAATTGTCTCTTTAACTGTTAAACAAAAATGGACAATTTGGGAAGTGGAGATACGATTATTCGAGCCTTACGCCTCGTTTTTATAGTTGTTGAAAATCGGCAATTACTAAAACGAGCCGCAAGGCTCGAATAATCGTATCTCCTGTCTCTTATACACATCTAGATGTGTATAAGAGACAGGAGATACGATTATTCGAGCCTTGCGGCTCGTTTTAGTAATTGCCGATTTTCAACAACTATAAAAACGAGGCGTAAGGCTCGAATAATCGTATCTCCTGTCTCTTATACACATCTAGATGTGTATAAGAGACAGGAGATACGATTATTCGAGCCTTGCGGCTCGTTTTAGTAATTGCCGATTTTCAACAACTATAAAAACGAGGCGTAAGGCTCGAATAATCGTATCTCCTGTCTCTTATACACATCTAGATGTGTATAAGAGACAGGAGATACGATTATTCGAGCCTTGCGGCTCGTTTTAGTAATTGCCGATTTTCAACAACTATAAAAACGAGGCGTAAGGCTCGAATAATCGTATCTCCTGTCTCTTATACACATCTAGATGTGTATAAGAGACAGGAGATACGATTATTCGAGCCTTGCGGCTCGTTTTAGTAATTGCCGATTTTCAACAACTATAAAAACGAGGCGTAAGGCTCGAATAATCGTATCTCCTGTCTCTTATACACATCTAGATGTGTATAAGAGACAGGAGATACGATTATTCGAGCCTTGCGGCTCGTTTTAGTAATTGCCGATTTTCAACAACTATAAAAACGAGGCGTAAGGCTCGAATAATCGTATCTCCTGTCTCTTATACACATCTAGATGTGTATAAGAGACAGGAGATACGATTATTCGAGCCTTACGCCTCGTTTTTATAGTTGTTGAAAATCGGCAATTACTAAAACGAGCCGCAAGGCTCGAATAATCGTATCTGCTCTTCCCAAATTGTCGATTTTTGTTTGCGAGCTGGGGGACAATTGGAGAGAATTTACTGTAGTTTGTAAAGAGATGCGTTTATTTCGCTTTCTACATATCGAGAAGAATTGGCAGGAGTATTTTACTATTGGGAGAGACTGCCGCATAGATATTCATCTAAAGGAGAAAAGAGACCAAAGATGGCCGCATTGTCGCAGAACATATTCCCAAAAGGGATAGATAGTCTTGCTCTAAATTAAGCACGCAGCTGAAGTAGCTTTCGATAAAAATGCTGAGAACCGACAAATCGAGGATCTGTACATAATCGGAATTAATCGAGATCGATTAGTCCTCGAGACTTTTACTGCTAGTTTCGACGGCTTTCCGGGTCCGATGGGAACTATGGCAGGCCGTTCGCAAGCGCGGCCGTTCAAAACTACGTAATCTCAATGACCGGGTATTTTGCAACACGAAATCATCGCGACCTGGTCATTTTCTAAGTAAAATCTCTCGTTGCCCGGGGTTCTAACGGGTTTACGGCAGCACTTAAATGGTTCGATCGGTCCGTAAAGCCGGCACCCGTTGCCCCCCGCGCACGCCTTCCTCCGTGACGTCGACGGTCTGAAATTATATATCATTTCCGACTGACAAACTAACGAGACTACTGTGCTAGCCATTGAACGGCCGGATCGGGCCGGGCCTCGACCTACAAGCCCGATTTAACAGGCAGCGCATTTCGCGCCATTGTGATAGCTGCCGGTGAATGGGGTCATCTTCGGCGGGCGGGTTTTGCGGGAGCATATGGACCGGTCGAAAGTGTTCCACGGGCCGGATTACCGACGCGAAATTTGTCGGGACCCCGGGGCCCTCGCACCCTCGGGGCTCTGTTGTCGTGCCCGTTAAATTTGAAAACTCTATTGATCGGGAATCGCCCCACGTACGCGACAATTCTCACCCACTTACCAATTAAGTCGCTTTTATCGAATGGCTCCCTGCCAGCCCGTAAAGGAATATCGTCGCAATTGCGCCGGGCGCGCACGCCGAACTGTGCGATCAGAGGAGACGAGACGGGACGAGACGCGGCGCATTACCTTTTATCGATTATCGCGGGCCTCGTTGTCGTTCTTAATTCAATGGAAGCGGCCGCAACGCGACGCGTTTGCCACCGACAGCCTATTGGCCGCCGTCTAACGTTAACGTGCCCCCGTTTCGGCGCCTCCGAGCCTTTCAACCACCGTCGACGCGCCAGCACCCCGCGATAACGGGGTAATCTCGGCTGCTTTATTAAACCGATACGCTCCCTTTCGCGTGCACTTTTTTTCGCGAAATCGTTACTCGGTTCGCAAGTACCGGCCTGATGAGACCGAACGGTCCCGTTCAACCCCTGCTACCCCCATGGAGAGTTCATTCGATACATCTGGGCTCCGTTCCGCACCGCTTCGCGCTGCTCCGGAAATTCTTGCCCTCATATTTTGCATTTTAACACTTTCGCTATTGTCGGCGAGGTGTACGGCGACCGTGGCGTCGTTGATGTTATTGTATGCAAGAGATATCTCGTGTGAATAACGTCTGTGCGATATTGTGGAATAGATATCTCGCGTATCTCGTTACGGTACATAGTCTATTTGCTGAGCGTTTCGACGTTGGTAAATACCTCGGAGAAGAAAGATGACATTATACCTTTGCAAATACAGTTGGAGGGATAATCGCCGTGTGGAAGTATAAATCTGGAGTTTCTGCCTGATTAGATACATTACTTTCGTAATGTAAATAATAATAAACGGTGTTAAAATATACATTCTCTGGGCTTATCATATAAAACTCCATGGAAAATGGATGAAACAGAATTTCTTGATTTAGAAGCTGGTGAGAACAGATGAAATGTTATCTTCGAAGAGAATAACAAACGACGATACATTGCAAATTTGATATCGCTGCATTAAGGAGTATTCTAGTGTATAACGCATTTTTTTGTTTCCTTTCCTCGGTATTTTTTTTATAAAGAAACCATGCGACTTCTTGCATCGAGATTTTCCATACATATTTCATACTCTTTCGACAATATTTACAAACTTTAACAACGAGAAATAATCAAAATTGTTGGTAGAACGAAGAAAGCATGTACTTTCAGAGAACGAAATAAAGAAAGATCGAGTGTTTGGAGGTTCTAGATTCGAACACCCTCGCAAAGAGAAAATGACAGTATAAACCCTGTTTTCTATCGATTCACAGGCTGCAATAATTAACCGTCGACTCGAATACTGTCTAATAGTCACAGGTGTACCAAGGGTGCAAACCAACGTCGCGATCTACTCGGTAAATTCATAAGGTAAACTTCCATCCCACAAAAAGTATGAACTTTTGGAGCAGAACTACCCCTAACGCGGCAGGTTACCCATTATGAGATCTGTTAGTAACACCAGCCGACCGCCAATCAGTCCGCTTTCATCTGGCCAGGAAAGAGTGATCGTCCCGGGGAATCGATTCTCTAAAACAATCGACGCAGGGGTGTCGCCCTCCGTATAAAGCGGAATATCGCGACGCGCGCTTTGTCGCGGTGATACGAGAAAATTAGGAAAGTCAATTGGTCGTAGCGGTCCCCCAGATTTCTGCGACAACGTCCCTCGGCCACCCTCCCGCGGCCCCGATTCTCTCCCTTCTCGTTCTCGGATCGGATGGCCGAGGTTCCAGCGCGGGGCCCCGCGCGTTAACTTTTCGTGACAAGCTTCAGTTTCAGCTGTTCTCTCCGCGATGGTCACCGCCTCGTTTACCCGGGGGGGTTGAATCTCGAAGGGCGGGCAAGGGCAGTTGCGCTCGGACCCTTTTTATCCACGTTACTGACGCATTCACGCCACGGGCGTTTCCATTAGCAGCTGATCCGCCGCGATAAGTCGCACCGATACGGGCCCCGGCTTGCGACCTACGGATAACCCTCGATCCCGACAGTCTTACGGGATTACGCAAAAAATATATTAGTCGAACAATGTGAATGGGAACGTGAATGGGAACTGCGAGCCATTGTCACGGCAAGATTGTCACGCCAGCGGCAGCCGAAGCTGCTGTGTCGCGCGACACGCTCCCTTCAACAGGGAAACTCTGATTTGCAAAGGCCTCGCACACTCGACGCTCTTGGCAAACCATGAAATAAACATCGGACCCTTTCCCAATAAAACCTAGTACTTTTACGTTGCATTGTTTGCGCACGATTTATCAAGTGGCATCTTCTTGCGTATACAAAAATTACGTTAATTCAATGTTCGCGCTCTCCCTTCGCTTGAAAAATGGATAACGATCAATGTAGTTCATCGAATAGGTTCGTTCAGGCGAAAGTAAAGAATGTGCACATCCCCTTCATTTTATTGAGTTCTAACATAAGTCCGCACCGTTTCTCACAGACGTTTTAACGAGTTCACATCGAGCCTGCAAATAAGAGCTGAAAATAAGATATTTTAAAAAGTGTTGAAATTGCAAGGATTCTTTCATAGGAAATAATTGA